TTCCTGGACCCCTTTGCCCTTCAAGACTGTCTCCCAGGGAACCCTCTCGACCAGTGTCCTGGGCAGGCCAAAGTCTGCCCTCCGGAAGTCCATGGTAGCGGTTTTGCTTGCGCCCCCTCCTTACTTCACCCAGTATCATTTCATGGTTGCCAAGCCCAAGCCGGCCTCCGGCCACCACATCTCCCACCAGGCCTTCTCTGTTTGTGAACAGCAGGTCAAGCGAGGCACCTCCCCTGGTAGGCTCGCTTACCAGCTGCGTCAGGAAGTTATCTCCCACACACTCCAGGAACTTCCTCGACTGTTTCCTCTCTGCTGTGTTGTATTTCCAGCAGACATCTGGAAAGTTGAAGTCCCCCACATGTCCACTCCATGTGCTATGTAGCTCCCATTCAGGCTTTGGAGGCTCTCTGAGATTAAAATTTTACTGACAAGTGAAAAGATTGCAAGGCTTTACTTGGGCGTCTCTACTACCACTATTATGATACCAGTTTTTGAGGCTCTGGCTAAAATACAGTAATCTATTTAAGAGTTTCAGAAATAACTGTTTATGAGGAAACTTTGTACTGTATTAGAAGAAGCAGTGCTTAATTTGGCGGTTTCAAAAATTTGCTCTAGCACACCCAAAACTCCCTGGGGGGATTTCTACAGATTCTCTACTTCTACTGGGTTGCCTGGTTGGACTTCTGCTGCAGATCTTCCATGTTTCATGACAGTTTGGGATCCTCTGATATTTGTGGGATGTACTCCTACTTCCTCTCCTGAATAGCTGCCTTTATTTTCTTGTCCCCAGACTAGATGCAGATGGGACAAACGTGTTTTATTCCTGCTTGCTCAGTCCATGCTTCCCGATCTGCTGAATTCATTTTCCTTCCTCCCAGGGAAGGAGGATTTTCTGTTCCCAAAGAACATCAACCTTTATTAGTGGGCATAGCTTTGGACAATCATATTCACATCAAGAATAAATACAATAAGAGGATTTATTTTGTCTGTACAGTAAAATCGTTTAAGTACTAACCATCCATATAGTACCAGTGGTTTAAGGAGCTGTAGTGGCTCATAGGTTTAATATAAAACTGTGTTATCCCATAGGCACATTCTCCTTTTTATTTTACTCGGGTATAACTGGTAGATCTGTTAAAAGGGGGGAAAATTTAATTATTTTATTTTACCATAGAGCATCAGAAATACTTAAAAATGCAAGCTATACAGCAATACTAGTAGAAAGTGGTGTCAGAGATCATGTAACATATGAAAAGGTTTTGGCCCTAGTCATTAAGCTTGATTGTTTCTGTTATTCTGACCATCCAGGTAATGGTGCCTCGGAGACAAAACACACTTCTGCTTCAGCCTCTGCTGTCTGATACAGAATACAAAGTTACCATCACTCCCATCTATTCTGATGGGGAAGGAGTCAGTGTCTCAGCTCCTGGCAAAACTTGTAAGTACAAACTTTCTGCTTGTCTTTGGCCAGGATATGCGTGAAGAAGTCTTGCTCTTTTGGCCTTTTTTCCTTGGCTGTAGTAATGTATTTTAGTATAAATGCGGGCTTATTTTGCATAACTTACATGACTCAAGAGCTTTGTATTAATCTCAGTTCATTGATTTATAAACAATGGGTTGCTTCTAATTGGCAGATTGTAGTTTATGTTCAAATACTGTGAGTTTGCAGAAACTTGTTGAGTAATAAAGCTGGTAAGTCCTTGATAGATAGCCCACCAAGGACAAGACAGCTAATGCAGAAAATAAAGTAAACAATGCCTGCTGGGGTAGTATCAAACCAACCATTGTACTGTTAGATTTTCTTTTGTATGAGATCATTACTTCCTAAAGGTCATTAGAAATGCTGCTGAACTTTTTATAAAAGTGATTGCATTATCTCTAGAGTTCTGACCAAGTACCAAAAGATTACTCAGCTGTAGCTAAAGTTCCCTCTCTACTGTATATTGGTAGAAAAATCATCTCATTGTGCACTGCTAGTCATGATAGTATAATTTTATTGAATTATTCTCCTAATTTACATAATTTCTGCCTAAATTGAAGTGCTATTTGGCAGACACTTAAATCACTTGTAAATCATTCCTTTGATTCCACGCCTTTGAAGGCGTGTTCACAAGAGCCTGATTTATACATTCAAAACTTTAGTGCACTTGGGTTGAAAGAAACTATATAAATAAAAGATAATTATCTCTGAATTGTCTTATGTTTTTAAAAAATGTAGGGACAAAGTTGGGAATTAATTTGAAAATTCATTGTTTGTTGAACAAAGTTTGTAATTAATCGTTGGTATAACTTTCTTAAATGTATCAACATTAATCCACTGGCATAATGCCAAGGAAGAATTTGATTAAAGACTCCCATTCTGGCATTTTTAACTATAAATCTGAGAGTACTTGCTATCTCACTATTTTCCTGTGCATAACTTGAGTTTTATGCATGTGCTTGTATGAGAGAAGCTTGTAAAAGCTCAGTTTGGTTTCCTTTTAGTACCCTTGTCTGCTCCTAGAAATTTACGTGTCTCAGATGAATGGTACAACAGATTACGTATCAGTTGGGATGCCCCACCATCACCAACAATGGGTTACAGAATTGTCTACAAACCTATCAACAGTGAGTTTTTAAACTGATTTTTTTTTGTCATTTGTTTTTGACTGTACAATGTCTTGACATCATCTTTTGCTGAATTTTGTACTTAAATCTTACAGTTGCAGCTACAGCCTTGAAAGTGCTATTATTTAGGTGTCTCAGGTTTTGAAATGAAAGTTTCATAGTGACAGAATGATACAGGTTGGAAGGGATCTCTGGAGATTGTCTGGTCCAACTCCCTGATCAAAACAGGGCCAGCTTGGAACAGGTTTCACTGGACCTTGTCCAGTCATGTTTGTAATATCTCCAAGGATGGAGATTTCAAAACCTCTCTAAGGATTTGTTGCAGTTTTTTACTACCCTTACTGTGAAATTGTTTTTCCTAATATCTAATCAAAATTTTCCATGTTGCAAATTTTGTCTATTTTCTCTTACCCATCTTCCTGTTAGCCTCAGAAGAGATTCTCCTCTACCGCCTCCCATTAGGTAGGTGTAGGCAGCAGTAAGATTCCCCCTTAGACTTTCCATCTTAAGGCTGATCAAACCCAACTCTTTCAGTCCGTCCTTTTATGTCATTTTACCATGACTCTATTTATTTCAGAGACTACCTTTGCTCTTTTCCTGTACCTCTCTTCTGAGTTCTCCTGTCCTTCAACTTCCTTCCCCTTACAATGCAAACAAAGCTTTAGTTTCCCTGACTTTTACTCCCACTCTACACCTCCCCAAAAAACTTGCCATTTTATTTGTTGCCCATTTTGTCTGTGCTGCATCCCTTGCCCACCTGCACATTGCAGCTAGACAAGGCACCCATTCTCCTTCAAATTTCTTTAGAAAAACACCATGCTCTATTGAGAGTGAAACACAAATGTGTGACCATTAAGGGACTAAAATACTCTCCAAAGACAATACTGTTGCCTGGTTTCTGAAATATATCCAGAACAGCTAAGAGAGGTGATAAAGGAGCTGTTTGCAGTTCTGAATCGGGAAAGTTTTATTCTTTTCTATTTTCATTATCATTTTTGCACAGTGTTAAATTATGCTGTTGTATAAGAACCCCTTAGGGACTGTTTTGCTGGCTGGCATCAGCTGCTCCCACCCCCCCAACCCCCCTGCCCCGTTGGTCCTGGCACACCATCAAACTGAGGAGATCTTTGGCTGCCTATTTAGGGCAGTAGTAAGTCACTGAAGCAGAACAAAAGAGTCTTAACAGATGCCAGCGTCTAGTCCTGCCCTAATGAATCCCACTGCTGAATTTCCCAAGTGTTTTGTGGCTTTTATCCATGCAAGGACTGAGCAGAGTGTCTTTGGTTTTGTGTATGGTTTAAAAAAAGAAAAAAAAAAAAAAAGGGCAAAAAAAAAGAAGCAGTAACTTTAGGAGCACATGTAATTTTGGACATGTCTTAAGATTTCTTTTAACTACCTGCTAATTCAATGGATGAGCAAATGATTTTCTAATCTATTTCATTTTTTGCAGTCCCTGGTCCTGCGTTGGAGACCTTTGTAGGGGATGATATTAATACCATTCTCATTCTAAATCTCTTCAGTGGAACGGAGTACAGTGTTAAAGTATTTGCTTCATACTCAACAGGCTTCAGTGATGCCCTAACAGGCATAGCCAAAACCTGTAAGAATGATTTCACACTGTTCAGATCTCTACAGGATGTTTTTCGCTATAACTAAGGCTTTGTGCAGCTCCCTGAATATATTTTCACATGGAAGACTTTCTCAGTTGTGTGCAAACTGTTTTCCTGAAATGAAAGTCTCTTTTTTTGTCATACAATATCAGGCTTTAAAATAATCTGCTGGATGTTAGCAAGACAGGGGTCATAAAGCAGATGTTGTTATTTATCAGCCAAACGTATTTGCATAGCAGTAGATATAAATCTCCTTAATGGAAAGTCTATTTAGTCTCTTTTTTTTTCCTAGCTCCATGTATATAATCTGATTTAGTCTTTTTATATCTAAGCTTCAATTTTAAATTAGATTTTGACAGAAGTGTTGCTGTTACAATGATATTTTTGTACTTATTTGTAATAACTGAATTTTTAGCAGTGTTCATTATTTAGTCTTAACTAAATTGACTTAAGTTCCAAACTTTCAGTCTAAAGGTTCACTTTTTTTTTTTAGTTTCCTGTTTTGGATTTTCTTGACATCATTTTTTAAAGTAGCTTTTGAAATTATTTGTTAGAAATGAATTTACACAAGTGTTTCACTATAATTCTTTTGTCTTTTTTTCTTGTATGTCTTATTAGAGGAATAAATCTAATTTTTTGGTGTTTAATTTTCAGTGTACCTGGGTGTGACAAATTTGGATTCCTATCAAGTCCGCATGACTAGCCTCTGTGCTCAGTGGCAGCTTCACAGACATGCTACTGCGTACAGGGTAGTTATAGAATCGCTTGTGGGTAAGTTACTAAATCATTGGGTATGGACCTACAGCCTAACCCAGCAAATTGAATTGCATAAGTTAAGAAATAGTATGCAGTCGGACCTGTAGACTGGCTCCTGAAATACTGGATATGGTGGACAGAAGAGAGTTGTGTACACATTGAAAGTTTCAGGAGTAGAAGTAGCATTCTGGTCCTTTTATATCAAACAGATGTTGATTACTTGTCCTTTTTATGGGAGAGAGTTTTATCTATCAGTAGAAGATAGGTGATTACCTGAGCTTTTCACTGGTGTGAGGGACAGAAGATGGGTCAAGGATGAACTGAATACATCTAAGATTATAAATAAACCATCAGTGATAGCTCTGTAGGATTAGGACGGACATGGGAGGAGGGCAGAAGGGTAGGAAAAGCTCTGATTGAATCCAGACCATGCTCACAGAGTCAGAACAGTGTCCAGTTTTGTCTGTTCTCATTCTGTTGATCATTAATTATAGCTTGGAGTAATGTTATTCATCTGGATAAACATGAGATATTTTTATGTGGCAACACATGGTGTCTTGATGCTTTTAGCACTGACTGTGTAGAAGGTGAATTACAGCCTCTTCCATCTCACTGATTCTCAGATGTAGCCAGAAGAGGTTATGGAGAAGTCACTATTTGTGCAAACTAACTCTCTTATCCCCAGTAGACACCAGTGATCTTTTGAACGGTGACAAATTAGAAGCTTGGATAACTTGAGAGAAGTGTAGTTAATAACATTTAATGGGATCTATCAAAGGTATCATGGAAAATAATACTAATTTGGTTGCAAAAAAAAATAATGACCTTTCTGTGGAATGGCAAATGGGTGGTGATACAGTTTATTTGAAGGCCTGGAATACAGTCAAGCTGTTCAGAAAGCAGAGATCCTGGCTGGCACAAGACAGCACAGATTTCCTTCTCATCTGGGAGCTGGCTAACATTCTGCTTTCATCATATAGAACTGCCAGAATTGTTTTAACTGAGCCAAAAGAGCCTAAATGAGAGCAGAACGAGCTAAAGTGTGAACAATTCCTTCTTATTAACATTTATCATGAAGAGTTTTGACTGTCAGGTTGGTTGTGTGTCACATTCAGGCAGTAATCAGTTATTTTTATACTAATGTAGCACTTCCTGATAAGCATCAGCTGTTTTTTCCTTGGCAGTGAATGACTGGCATTTTTTGTATGTACTCTGTAAAATGTGAGATCAGTTGCTTGCATTTCACTTCTTTCTGCTACAGATTATGAATTGTGCTGAAGGTTTTCTTATTATTATTAAAGTATACCTTATGCTATTTCCAGTACCCAGGCTTTTTCCATTGTCAAAACGTTTTCCAATTCAGAATTTAGCAGAATTAATTTCAGAACGCTGTAAATACTATTCCTTAACCAACTTGTTAGGTGGTTACTAGTGGAAGCTGGAATACAATATCTAGTTCGGGCTTTCTTGTAATTACTAAGCACATTACAGACTCTGAGAACCAGAGGCATAGACAAAGGATGCTGTAGAATTATATAATGCAACAATTCCTCATTAGACTCTGATAATTTAGGACCAGATCCAAAGCCCATTGATGACAGTGGTTTTTATTAACTTCAGTGCATAGGGTGAAATTAATCTTTTTTCCTGCAGATGTCTGACACATCCCCTCAGCTCCTACTTAAGGATGAAATGTTAGAGACACCTCTGCGAAGAGATGAATTTCCAGAAATAAGGCAGCATGTAGTTTATTAATTTATGTCAACCACTTGCCCTTCATCTCCTGTCATGTCACCGTCTTATTTCAGACTTGAATTACATTATTCAATACAGCAGTAAAGAAAAGTAAGTTCTAATCGTTTCTTTTATAATTCCAGATGGGAAAAAGCAAGAGGTAAATCTTGGTGGAGGGACACCTAGACATTGTTTCTTTGAGCTGATGCCTGGAACTGAATATAAAATCAGTGTTCATACACAGCTTCAGGAGATAGAGGGCCCTGCTGTAAGCATCATGGAGACAACATGTGAGTAAAATAGATCAGAGTTCAGCCAGCAGCGATAATGCTTGATTGCTTCTTGTGTTTTGCCCTTTGCCCACAGATGTGCTATTCCTACGCAGTTTCCTTTAGCTGAGTTTTTAATTTTTCAGCTACGTTGTGACTCCTCCACAGAGGTGCAGGATTCTTATACCACTTCTGTGTATTCCTTGTGAAGTCACATTCACCAACTGTATTGGACTTCTTAATGAGAAAGAAACAGGGAGGATGGTTTAGCTTTCTTCATAAAAAGTCCCACTAGGGGATACTCTAAAAATCTGTGACTTTGTAAAAAAATAAAAGAAAAAAAAAAGAAAAAATATCCAGAAAATGAAGCAAAGAGAGAAACAGGGAAAGTTTTGTATCCTGCAGCTCTTGTTATTTAGTAAAATTTCACCAGTGTCTGAGCAATTTATAGTTAAATGGGACTTCGATACCCAATCTACTTATGTATTTTAAAACAAACAAACAAACCAACATTTTTATTATTTTTCCCAATAACACAAGACAGGCAAAAAAACCCCTCACAGCTGTTTCTGAAGGCAAGATCCTGCTCTCATGAGTTCAAAACACTGCAAAACAATATACAGGATGAACAGAGTGAATATTTTAACATTATCTGTCTTTCTTCAAGCTCATTTTCAATCTCAGTGATACCCTTCTTCTCATACTATATTACTATACACCACAATGCTGTTACCCTTCTCTCAGGGTAAATAATGTTTATAATTTTCCTCTTCAAGTGAACCCTCCTACACTTACGGTTTCACAGAGGAAAAACTTGCTCAGGTGCATGACTCCACTTCTCAGTTACCCAGGGCCCCTTCTCAGAGCTGTGTGGAACAAGCCAAATTTCTCCTGCTTTTTGGAGGAATGCATTTTGTGTGCTCTGCAGTTCAGGGAGTTAGGAGACATCAGGAAGAACACACCTTGGCCTACATGTCCATTTGAGAAAGATGGTTTGTGATGCAGACAAATTATTGTATCACCTCCGAAGAAGACACTCTTCAGGGTGACCTGTAGCGCTCTGGTGCTCAGAGAGCAGCCTTCCAAGTCACCTTACTGCAGCTGTTACCCTTTCTAAGTGGAAGCTCCTGGTCTGTCTGTGGCCATGGAGGTCCTGGGCATTAGTTTCTTACAGGTGTTTCAGAGTCTTGGCCCTTTCTCTTGTTGAAGCCGATGGGAAAACCCACATCAGTTGCAGTGGGACCCAACTTTGATGTGGACATGAAGCTTGTAATGAATGCTGTTTGCACTAATCTTTCCCAAAGATAGGTGCCTTTTCTGAAGTTATTGTATCTATCTGTTGTCTATGAACATAACTTACATATTATAGCAAATAACAAGTATAGTCTTACTTGAAGGAATGATGCTCTGTCACCTGTGGCTTCTTACACTAATTGCATGGAAAAAAATTGGAAAAATGCCCTTGAATGAAAGCAGAAGCTTTTCCTCAGATACAGTTTTAGAAGTCAACACATGTGCATGTTATCTCTGAGCATTCAGCTAAGACTGTATTGAAAGGCACTAAATAGAGTTCTTGCATTCAGCAAAGCTGTCAAGTAGTGATCATGTATTCAGCTAGGTTTCTGGGAGGCTGTCATTCCAAAACTTATTTTCAGGAGAAGGATGAGACAGAGTAACCAGTTTTCAGAAACTCTGCTTGGTAACCTTAGTAGAAGTTGCTGCAGGCAACAAAGCCACAGTCCTGTAGAGTTGTGGTCAGAACTGCATTTCTAGCTGGAAACATAACAAGGTCTTCCACTGAATTCAGGAAAATCTTGATCAGGACAGGCTGTGATCTGCTCTGAGTGCAGGCACTGGCTTGTTTTTGCACTGTCTCTTTGTATTTTGGATTGCAGGACTAATATCTTCTTCCTTCCAGGATGGGTAGAAACCTAGTTTCTGTGACTAAGGACTGGTTGTTGTCAGAAAGGAAAAGGACACTGACCTTTTACAAAATGAATTATGAACACTAGGTCAAGAATGGGGCTGCCACATGGTTTACTACACTGTACTTTACTGCTACACTGTTTACTACTCCTCCAAAAAGGGGCAGTTGCAGTGGTAGTTCAGTTGTACCATTGTATCATTCATGCTGAAGTGCAGCCATTAATTGCTCTGTAATAGTACTATCCTTTTTGAAGTGGTCAGTAGAGGAGGACATTACATGCACATGGTCACCTACATGTCTCTCCAATTGCATAACTAGTTGATCAGAGATAATGAATTTTAAATGTGGAGATGAGTAGAAAATTCTCTGTTTGATATAGATAAAATATATTGGGCTTTTAAGCATTTTTTTAGTATTCCTTCCTTTTATTTCCAGTACCATTTCCAACTCAACCCCCAACAACACCTTCAACACCACCTCCACCACCTACAATCCCTCCTGCAAAAGAGGGTAAGTGCTGCATGTCTGGGTTTATAATAATTTTAAGGTGTTGATGCAATGTTTTTCTGCTTCTAACACTCTTTTAGACCTATGGGGATCAGATTTCAAAATGCATTTGCTACAACGACACTGTTAAGGCAGCTGGCTTAAATTTAATGAGCCAAAAATCTGACATCATTACTGTATTGTTGAAATTTGCGGAAAGGAGGGTTAATATGTGTGAGATTTTCTTTTTCCAGAACTCCTAATCCATACATGTTTTGCAAGTGAACCATATATCCTAGGGTAATTAAACTTCTAAAACTTCTATTTTTAATATTTTAATATTAGATGTATTTTTAAAAATATATCTACTTTAGGCAACGAGAAGAGTGTTGGCCATGTTCAGTCTCTTCTCTCTTTAAATGTAGACTTCCTTCTATTATCATTTGAACATGTAGTGTTTTGTACAGAGTCTCATAAATATTACTGTGAGGGGAGCATTATTGTTGGAGACTGAGGGTCAAATCCATCAGCTTGAAGTCAGTGGACCAAACTGATGTATAGTAACAGAGAATCTAATCCATAAGTACAGAAAAAAAAAACCTTATGTGTGTATTTTAGAACTGCATAGCAGCAGATTTTTTTTTTTTAATCCAAGGAGTAATCAGCAGAAAACTAGAAATACAGATATATATCCTCCTGTCCCATTCTCTGAATTTAGATGAACATTCTTCTTCAAGATGAAATATGTTGAAAAAATAACTTTGCTTTCAGACTGTTTGTTTTCTGACCCCAAGCAATAGACTTGGATTCTGTAAAGCATTGAAGGTTCCCAGTTCCCATGAAAGAGTGAGCAACTCGTGTGGGCAGGTGTACATCTCTGCAGGCCATTTTACATAGGAACATGCTGGAAGAAGATGAGATGGGGAAACCTGCGTTGCTCCTATAGAGTGCAGATAAGGGGGTGAGCATTAGGCACTACAGAGCTTGGGGTAACATTTGGAAGGGGCTAGTTTCCCCTGGGAACCTCCACAGTGGAGATTCTTTCATCTTGCTTACTGTGTCATGCTAGGAGTCTAGGAGTCTGGGATTGTGTAAGTTCATGTGTGGCTTTACTTAGCAACCTAAATAAAAATAAAAACGGTTAGCCAGATTTTAAACAACTGTTATGGCCTTGAAGTGTATTCTGTGACAGGATCTGTCAGTGCAGACCATTCACCCCTTGCAGAGCTCAGCTGGTTCTACACCTGCACTGAAGTCAATGCCAGCAGGTCTGTTTGCTAAAGCATTATTAACTAACATTAAACAAGAGCTTTTCATGACAGTTACATTTTCTTAAGTGACTTATGAGATTTCATGAGGAGTTGAGGCATTGCTCTAATTCCAAAATACTTGCTTTTGTTTCTCAGTGTGCAAAGCAGCCAAAGCTGACCTAGCGTTCCTAGTGGATGGCTCATGGAGTATTGGAGATGACAATTTCAATAAAATAATTAACTTTCTCTATAGCACTGTTGGAGCTTTGGATAAGATTGGTCCTGATGGAACGCAGGTAATCAACATGTAGAGAGACAGAGGGCGTGTGCACTTGACAGGGTATTTTAGACTAGCACCAGAAGTGAAATGAATCAAAAAGTAATTGACATCATTTCACACTTCTTTTGAAAATTTAAACTGCTTTAGGACACCATCTTTTTTCAATATCTTCTTTTATACACACCATATGGTGAAATTCATGAATGAATTTTGCTAGCATGAAGGCTAAGTATTATTTCAGTGTCCTCTAAATCATTGTAATGTGATTTAAGTTGTGTTAATGTTTTTGGTATTGGTGCTCACTGTTTTTTTCTAAATAAGCTAAAAATGGCATTGATAAGGAAAATTAAAAGTTCATTTATTTAAAATCACATGCTCTACAGACTCTACAGGGCTTGAAATAAAATATAGTATTTACAATGATTGTTCTGTTTACGTATTTGTTTGGAGAGATGCTTGAATCTGCTCCAGAAAAGATTACTGGCAAATATAATACTGTTTTAAGTGTTACCTGTATAATATGCAGTTTGGGATGGTATTGAAAATGATTTTTAACTTGTTCAAACACTGAAGAATGCTCAGTTTTTACTATTTCTTGCTACACAGCTATTTTCCCAGAATATAGTCCATGGTGCTTCAGAAACTTAGGCACAAGCTTAAGCTTAAGCATGTGAATAGATGAAAATCAGGGACACCACTTACAGAATATGAAATTTAATATATGTTTTGTGAGTTGTAGGGGTTTAACATACAGTATTGAATTACAGGGTCTGGACTAATGTAGCATCATATTTGGGAGAGGCAATATTTCGGAATATGTTCTTGCATCTTTCTATTACTTGCTTCAGTATTGCTCCCTAACTTAAGTTACTTATGTGCAGCTATTCGTTTGTGGAGACTGAATAAAGTCCCTGCAGTCCTGTGTATGAGTAACTACATGTTTGAGCAGCTGTAACTAGGACTTTGCTTTTGGGCTTGACTGAGAGTGCTTTTGTGGGTATTACTTTTCTCATCCTGTTTGCTGCAAAATGAAACCAGAAAGTGTTAGGTGGTTGTCAAGGCTGCAGAGAGTAAAATTAAACTTTATTTAGTGAAAGCTTCTTAAAGAGAAAAAAAATTCTGGCTTCAATTTAAGCAAAGTTACAAGATAAATCCTTGTTTTAAATGTGCTGATTCACTTACTTTTTGCTTATACACTGGGTAGTGCTTTAGCAATGAACACATCTTCTGTGTGCACAGGTGGCAATAATTCAGTTCAGTGATGATCCCAGGACAGAATTTAAATTGAATGCATACAAAACAAAAGAGACTCTTCTTGAAGCTATTCAGCAAATAGCCTACAAAGGAGGAAATACAAAAACAGGTGAGAAAGGTGATGATTATGATGCGGATTTTCTCCCTGCTACTCTCTGTGCAGTATTTCTTTCCCATTTGCTAAGTGGTTTAATATATCAGTGCAGAAACAGTGAGAACATGGTATCTCCACACTGGAGGGGAAAGGTTGAGCTTTGAAGTTAGAAAGTCTTCGTAATCTGCAGTTTACACCCTTCACCCCCTACTGCTGGGTATTCACCCCTCTGACCAACAGTGATGTCAAGGATCAGGGAGGAAGGGAGAAAGGCAGCTAGACAGAAGTGACTGACTGTGGGGATTGTGGAAGGTGGACTGGGGAGTAATATGAAATCAACTTGGCAAGTGGAAAAGTGGGACGGGAGAGAAGGTGGGAGGGAGCTTGCAGAGCATGTAGAAAACAGTGGACAGAGTGGAGGGTCTGTTTGGTTATAAGCCAGGACAGTTAAACCGCAGTGGTATGTTTAAGACCGGGCTGGGGAAAGATGTCTGCTAACTGAATGTAGTTACATTTTAATTGATCCCTTAAGATAGCTCTCTGATGTGAAGAAATTAAAAGATGAGTGCTGAAAGGGTTAAAATCTGTTTTAGTTGGAAACCATATGTTTTATTATTCTCAGACTGCACAGAAATTTCTTGCAGCTGTTGCATTGCATCCAATCTCAGTAGTATCAAAATAACACATTTTCCATTTACTCAAGAAAATGCTACAATGGCACTTTTAGTGGTTACCTGGACTGTGCCCTACAATCCAGTAAGGGAGGATTTTGTTATCTCTAACCTGCACAGAATACTGTTTCCCACACATGTCATGTTCTTTATCTTCACCTTCTGGACTGAAAAATGGATGGCTGAAGCCATCAAATTTTCAAAGTTAGGGTCAAAATTAAACTTTTCTAAATCTCTATTTTAATAACTACAGAATGCATTAATTTACAGACTACTCAGGACCCAACAGACTTCTCTTTTTATCAATGTCTACTATATGATATGAGAAGCCAATAGAAATTGGATTTATGTCACAGTGAAAATATGTTGTCAATTTTTTCTGTTTCAGGCAAAGCCATTAAACATGCAAGAGAAGTCTTGTTTACTGGAGAGGCAGGCATGAGAAGAGGCATTCCAAAGGTTTTGGTTGTCATTACTGATGGGCGATCACAGGACGATGTGAACAAAGTCTCCAGAGAAATGCAACTAGATGGTAAAAAGTGTAGTTTTAAGAACTATTCACATTTTCCTTTTTCTCATTAGTTATAACTACGTAAGTGTGGGCATGAGATAGGGGTAACTTTAGCTCGAGGAAGATTTCCAAGTTTAAAGAAAACAGACAGCAATTGCTCAGAAACTCAGAATATCACTAGGATATGGTTAGATTCTGGATTTTTTTTTGGTGATTAATGCTATTATTTTTCATTTTGGCAGCAGTGTAAAAATCATGTAGTAGTCAATGGAATTGCTCCTATGATGAAGGATTTAGGGGACATGATACTGAGAATCTGGACTGTCATCTATGAAGTGTAGTCTTGTGGTTACCAGCAAACTGAACTGTTTTGTTTTCTATACAAGAGGTCCTTTGAAAATTTTTTCATATGTTCTTTTACTGGTTCTGATCTGCTCTCATGTTACACTAATTACCTTTAGGATTTTTTTTTAAACCACCAATTTTAGAGCTTTAAGCAGCCACACAGTGTTGTGAGTCTAAGCATAAGAAGTGGGTTAGTTGTTGAAGAAATGTCTGATATGGAGGTTTGTATCAAAACCCAAAGGGCACAGTGTGCCACATGGAACAAAACTAAAAGATGGAAGAAAAAAGCTATCATCCTTGTAATGTGAGGAGATCTAAGAAGAAATTACATTTGTGCTTATTTTATTTACCTTTAGACCTTGGCAGCTATGAAGTTACCAGTGTATATTACCGATTCCTGAAACCCAATGTAATCGTTGAACTTGGCTGCCTGCTTGTATTATTGCTAGATGCTCAGTGCAGTGCCTTCGTAAATAAAATCACATCACAAAATAGTAGAGCATGCATAACTTGTTTTAAGTAGCAATCAAGAAAACCCCATATTTGTGAATAAATTGGAGTCTATGTCTAAGCTGAACAAGAAGTGTTCTACTGTCAGTTAAGTCAGTTGCCTTATTAACTACTAGACTGGCAACGAGCTTGAGAGGAGATGGCACGTGGTGGGGGTTCAGCTGCTGACTGGGATGTGTCACCTTGGACAAATGACTTCCTCTCTCCCATTTCCTTTTGTGCATGCTGTACGTTTAGGCTGCAGGTAGGTTGGAGCAAGTACTGACTTGCATCTATGATAAAGACTGGCATGAAGAGGTGCTGATCTTGGATGAGACATGAAGATATTGTTGTAATATATTAAGTCAAAGTTTTGTAATGCTAAAAGCTCTGCAGAAGGTGATGAATGCCCCTGGGCCTCATTCAAACTTAAATGTAGACAGTTTTTATCTTTTAGGGAAGGGAAAATGTTGAAAAACTTCTACCTAGTTTGCTGCTCTTCAAACATATAGGATAAAATTTCCATTTCATTTAAATCTTTGAAGTCAGGCTCGAATTTCAAAATATATTCCTGCAGAATATATAGAACAGATTCAACCAGTGCAGTTAAGTTGCTGGTGAAATGAGAATGCATTTATTTCAGTGTTCACTCATGAGGCAGCAGTGGCTTGAAAACTCTGATTAATATATGGCACAGAACAAAATCTGTTAAAGACCTATAGGAAATTAATTTCTGTGCTTTGTATTTATGATATACTTGATACATGGATATTTTTGTGTGTATTACAGTATAGCATTAAATTAGAAAAGCATTTAAACATATGCTAAAACTTTAAACTACTGAGAAGTCTTATATGTCTTCAAGAAAACACTTAAGCGTTAACTGTGATTAACTGATTAAGCATAAATAGCCAAAAGAAATATCTCACAGAGAATGTATTATCTTTATTTTAGATTACATGCATGAATTTTCTTGTGGTATAGGATAATAATAAAATTTCTACTGTTGTACTTAATCAGGAAAGGAGCCAGTGCAAATACAGTTGTGTTCATATTGTATTTCCACTCTCTAAATGAATGACTCGCAAGAGTGTTCTTTTTTTTTTTCAGGTTTCAGCTTTTTTGCTATTGGAGTAGCTGATGCTGACTATTCAGAGTTAGTTAATATTGGCAGCAAGCCCAGTGAAAGACATGTCTTCTTTGTGGATGACTTTGATGCCTTTACAAAGATTGAAGATGAGCTGATCACCTTTGTTTGTGAAACTGCATCAGCAAGTTAGCCATTTTGACTTATACTTGCTTCTAAAATAATAAGTGCTAAATACTGGGGGGTTTGTAACTATTATTTTTCTATTAAGAGATATTCTTGATCTTTTTAACATAATTTGCTGCAGATATTATAACTCTAACATTATTTCCATAAAAGATTAAGGAAATTAAGGTGTTGTGACTTCAAAATAATTAATGTTTGTTTGCTATAAATCCAGAATACATCCATTGGTTTGTCAGAAAGTTATTTCAGATTTGAAACATTGTTAATGGTTCAGAATTTAGTCATAAAAAGTTAATTATATTTTATTTTCTGGGCTACTTTAACCATCTGTAAGAGTAGAGGTAGCTACATTCATTATTACTCAAATTGCATGGATAATTTATTAATGGAGAGCTAATCATTAATGCTTGTATTATCAGAGAAAGTGGAAGAGTTGTAGCCTAAGGAAAAGTGTAAAACACGCCCAAACTCTTTGAAATCTGAAAATGCCACACTTCAGACTTTTTATGAAAATGAAGGGAAGGACGTTCTGGAACAACACCTAATGGTTAGAGGTGAATAATTCACATGCTTTTAGGTGTGTGCCCTCAATATGCTTCCTTATATATAAGCCAGGAAGCAGGCAGTGTATAGCTGATGTTAATCATTTGTGACTGTAAGGAGTCCTTGTGCATAGGACTGTGATTTATCATGGCACTGTGAGTTATCAGAGCTGGTGAACACAAATATGTTGCTCGTGTCCATCAATTCTTTGGTTTTGACCATAAACTCTACTTTCAATGGTAGAGAGAACTTTGAATGTTGAGAATACTCGAATAGTAGCATTTATTGGTCACTTGTGCTTGTATTCTAAAAGCGATCTCTAAATATGAGTATCCTGGAGTGCCATATTTGACACCCTGCATTGATTTCCCAGGGCACCTTTCCTGGAAGAGATTAGCGTGCTTTCTTCCCTGCCAGAAGAAAAATATAAAACAGATTTACAGCTATTTAAAATGGGTGCACGCATCTTAAGGACTGCGTGCAATTCTGGTCTTTGTTGCTCATGAAAGCTATTATGGAGTTTGAAAAGGTACAGAGAATGCCAGCTAAAGTAATTGAGCTTGAGCTGGAGTTAGGCTGAAGAAATTCACAAATAGAGAACTAGGGAGCATTTGGTTAAAACCCAGTATAAGACACACGTTTTTACGCAGCAGGCAGTGAATTTGTTGCCACAAGAGCTTGTGAAGGCAGGTTCATAGAAGGATTAGACAAATTCATGGACAACAGAGCCATAAAAGGACATTATATGGAACACACAGGGAGGTACCCTTTAACATCTTTGCTACAACCCTTGTGGATCCTGAGGAGCATCAGCTGAATGGAGTAGAAAGTGGCCAGATTTGCATGCCCTTCCTAAATAGCGTTTGCTTTTGCTACTGTTGGGAATAGAGTACTGGGCTGAGTGGATCATTGTTTTGACCCAGTGGGACATCTTTTGTATCCTTAAATACATCTTTCCTTCTTTTCCAGCCTGCCCATTGGTAGTTAAAGATGGCAACAATTTTGCAGGTACAGTATTTTTGTGTTCATTTTTGTTCCTGATTTATGGAATCATTTTCATTACCTGATTTTCACAATATTAGGCAATAAATTTCCCTTTATGCTAACAGCTGTTAAACAGATGGTGATATGAAACTCTGATGCAACTGGCTTTGTCCTTTTTGTGTTTCCTGTAATGCGGTATTAATTTCACTAATAGAATGTATATTTTGATGCCTTCCAGGATTTAAAATGATGGAAATGTTTGGTTTGGTTGAAAAGGAGTTTTCAGCTGTGGAAGGGGTTTCAATGGAACCTGGTACATTTAATGTTTACCCGTGTTACAGACTGCACAAGGATGCCCTAGTATCCCAGCCTACCAAGTATGTATTAACATATAAATATTCATAAAACACATGAAAATGATTGTCCAGTGCAGGCAATTATTCATTTCAGGGACCAGTATTTTCACGTCAGAAGAGCAGAGACGCTAGTGTATATCTACGTTATACTAATGAATAGGAAGAGTGTTTGGTGTCCTGAGTCCTCAATCAGTTTCATTCAAAAATAGCAGTTGTGGGTAAAAGTAGGTAAGCTCACTGGCTAGTTTGAGTTTCCCACATGAGCCAGTTTTAGGCTTGTGCCAGTTTAGCTCCAAGCAGTTTTGTGCAGGCATATGTCTGGGCAGATTCCAGTATGTAGTACTTTGTGAAAGGTGCCTCTGGAAGGCAGGTTGAAGTCTCATAGAGTGCAGAATGTCTTTGAAGTTTGAGTCAGAGTGGGAACCTGCTTTAGATGTCCTCAGTCGCTTTCTACATCAGTCTATGTCCATTCATTGATTACAAAGGAAGATTATCTACTTATGCTGAAGTGAGTCTGTGTACATTCCTGGGAGGCAGGACATAGTTCAGTCATGAGGACTGTGTCCTGGGAGAGATTTGGAAGAGGTGATGAAGAAACCTCCCATTCAACTTTTACAGTCATTCCTCAGAGATGAAGTGATGGAAACTCTCCATTTCTTCTATGAACAGTGTGTATGTTGTGTTTGGTTCCTCTCAGTCCAGTCCCCCACTTTGTGTTAAGTGGCACCAGAAAAAAGCAGTGGCCCTGCTGGATTAAACATGGGAAGATGTAACAAAAAGTATTCTTTAGCTGGGATAAGTAAGGAAGAAAAACAGTGGGAAATTACTTTTAAGGTTTATATTAGATGTCATCTTAGTCTTTTTGTGTGGTTATCCTGTTGTGTCCCAGTTGAAGCTATACTTCTTGGAGCTGTTTCACGTTCTCCATGTTAGTTTCCTCCTGGGTGTAGTTGGACTGGAATTTCCAGGGAATAGCATTTCTCACTTCTTTTTCCCTTTCTGCTTCTCTCTAATCGGATCTGCTGCATTTATATGCTCTTCTCTGGCTGCCACCCCAGCCCAATCTTACTGCTTCATTAGGCTTTCACTCCCTTTCATGGTTCAGAGAATACCTTTCTCTTGACTATCTACAGGTACGTCTGAATAATACTACTTGTTTTTGTCATCTCATCTGTGCACTGAATGTCATTAATGTTATTCTCCTTTTTGAGCTCTGTATCCCCAAACCTTGTGTTTCTCCCACCCTGCTTATTGGATTTTCTTCCATTTGCACTTTGTACAATGGGCATACTGTAAGGCTTTGTTCTTATAGCTGTTGAGTTCCCTCTCTCTTTTCTTTATGGGAAATGTGCAGTGTAACATCACGTTTGATCATCTACAGACACTGTACAGAATATATTGATTATATATCACATTTAACTCCTTTTCCAGCATGATTCATATCTATACATCTTATATGTGTCAGAAATACTTCAGAAGGAATGGATCATATTTGGGGAAAAGAAATTGATTAAATAACCTCTTCAGGCTTGTTTCAGATCCCTTTACTATGATTTTAAAGAATCAGGCTAATTAACATTTTCAAAATACAGTCAGTCATTTCAGACACTTGTCCAAATGTCCCACTTTGGGATTTGACTGTGAAAGGTTAAATTAAATTGGAAGTGCTAAATAGCAAATTTTAGGAAGTGGCATAAAATAATATATTTCTTTTATATCATAAACTTCCTCTCTCTTCTGCAAAAATTCTAGGAGAACAGATTGTATTTCTGTATGTGTGATCTGTTTTGACTTCACTTTCTTATATATTGGCTTTGAAATATATAAACTACATTCCCTATAATTTATAAAGCTTCCTGTAACAGTCTCTGTCAGTCCTAATTTCTATCCATTAGTGATGGTTTAATGACAAAGGACATGTCTATTGAGATTGGTCTTCCAAGCAACTTCTATTTTCATTGTCTGTCAAACCAGACAATAGTAAAGGTCTTGCGAGTGGCTACTATTTTTTAAAAGCTTTTAATATAATTAATTTCAACTTTACTTCAAACTGACCTCTGATTCGATCTTCAAATAAAAAAAAAAATTACAGGCAATTTTGTAAATTTCAAGGGAAAAGATAACTTCTCCTTTCTTCATAAGTATTCTTTTGATGGTTACCAAGTTGAGTAGATTTTGCAAACACTTATTCATCTTGCTTCTCGGTCTTGATTTCCAAAGAAATATACAGAGTAATAGAAAGCGTGTTAAATGAACATCTGGTGAGTAAATCACCAGATTTAATGTTTGTTTCAGTTTAAAATACATTATTTCTCTTACAGGTATTTGCATCCTGAAGGTCTCCCATCTGATTACACCATCACGTTTCTCTTCCGTATACTCCCTGACACACCTCAGGAGCCATTTGCTCTTTGGGAGATTTTAAATGAAGAATATGAACCACTGGTTGGAGTTATTTTAGATAGTATGTATTTTGTATTTTATCAGTGGCTTTTTCTTTAACTGTATGAATGATTTTTTTCTGTATCTAGATTTATTATTGCTAATGTTTTAATCTGCTGCCAGAACAACTACCTGAATCTGGAAGGTGTTAGTCTCTAATGGGTATTTTTTAGATTTAATTTAACAGTTTAATTTGGAGTTAGAGTCAAATTTTGAGTACACTGCTCTAAAGTGCGAGTAATGATACTGAAATCCAAAGAGCTGTACTAGATGTAAATTGATGTAATGGAGCTACTCATTTGCTCTTAAGATTTCCACTGCTCTGAATCTAGTTCTAATAGAATCTGTCTTGATATATGCCAGTGGTACTGACAGTACGGTATACGTAGAGGCAATGCAGTCTGGTGGGTAGCAGACTTAGAGCTAGAGACATGAACTCTTGATGAGTCTCTTCGTTTCTACTTGATTTGACTTCCACAACTGTAGAACAGGGATTATAATTTAGAAGGTTTCCATATTTACTGTTGAAATGACGTAGATACTATGATAGCTGTTCTTTATAGCTGCCAATTTTAAGAGAGAGAGATTAGTATTTATCTATCTTTCCTAGAATTTTTTAGATACATCACCTTGAAATAGGTGGGAATTAGGCATTTAGCTAGCTTGAGGATCTGTGCCTCCTTTTCTTGTCCAAGTCCCACAGAGAACTAGTGGGAGAGTAGGATCAGGTAGACATGGGTGAGGTAGACTCCCAACTATTGGCCCATCCTGTCAAACCAGGAAAGAGCATTTCTCTGAGATAACTTGACTTCCAGGTCAGTATATCACTTATGAATGTGTTTTACTAACATTTGATCTGACATCTTTGGTGGTCTTTGTTAAACACAAAATTGACCCTTTCAAATAAGGTATAAGGCCTTTTCTTCCTCTAACATGGAGCCCTTATTTTTATTCTCACACAGATGGTGGTAAAACTCTGACTTTCTTTAACTACGACTACAAAGGAGATTTTCAAACTGTGACTTTTGAAGGTCCTGAAATAAGGAAGATATTTTATGGGAGTTTTCATAAGGTTGGTAAGGGTAATAGGAAAAAAAAAAAAAGCACTCTGAATAAAGGTTTGAGAGATTTTTGATGTTTTGAAATCTTCTTTCATGTGGTCAACCACTGCCAAAAGAAATGTATTTTGCATATTTAGAATCTACCAAACTGTCTTAAGTCTCTTTGCGATATTGAATTAACATTAAACAAATCATAGTTTTTACGATGAAGCTGATATGATCAATTTTCATCTCATGCTTTGTGCCTGTATTTTAGAGTTGATTAAAAATACTTGCCTTGAAAAGTAATTTAGAAATACATTGGCTTTTCCTTTTAAGGTTTGGATTGGAAGTGTCACTCAAAATGAAAAGAAAAAGTCCAGCAAAAAAAATGATTCTTCTTTTGACCAGAGTTGTTATTTTTAAACATATTTTAAGGGCTATGCCATGTCGAACTTTTCTTGGCTGTTGGAGAACTCGTAACATTCTTTCCGAAAGCAGATGAAGTAGTGCTGGGATTGTAGCACATATTTGTTGTGGAAGGTGCTTTTGTATTCACTTTTATTCCTGATGTTTGTATCTTTCCTAAACAAAAAAAGGAGACTGTGGATTGAGGGATAGTATTTACAGAGCTTAACTTTTCTGTACTTCCTTTTTAATCGATGGAGCGAGAAAGGGAAAAGGTAGGTCAGAGCTGGGGTCTAATTCTGACTCTTTTAAGTTGTGCTTTGGAGGAATATATGAGGCTTTAGCAAATCCTCTTCTTAAGCATTTTTCTGCATTTTGAATGATGATCCTTGCTATACATGTGTTTGAAAGGCACAGGAGATCAAATTCGTAGCAGCTTTTCAGTTCTTTATTTCCAGCTGAGCCCGGAGCAAAGCAGCTACACAACTCCTTCTTGGCATTCTCTCACCTTGGGCTCTGATCTCCATGTAGTGTACTGGTATACAACAGATACTGCATTTCTGCCAGCTCTTCATCAGGTCTCCTTCCCGATCCCCCCATCCCCCCCGTGGCTATTTTCTTTGCTTAACTGAGAGTTTGCTCGTGATAGGACAATTGTGGCTAGGATTGTCCTCTCTGCTGGGAATGTCCTTGCTGCATCAGCGACGGACAGCAGAAGGAAGTAACTTTGTTATTGTGCTCTGCTTTTCTGTACCATGTTTGATGTGGTTTGATTTTTTTCAGTGTAAAACTTCACTATGAAAGGTTTTACTGTGTGGTTAATATATAATTTACAGGCTAAATTTTACTGCTTAGTTTTGGCTTTTGCAAGTGTCTATAAAGGATGTATTGGTGAAATCCAGTGCTACATAGCAGGATCATCCAAGGCCCAGGAATTATTACTGACCACATAAATGAAGTGTTCTTTGGGATCGGGGTGGTATATGAACATTGTGTAGATCTTTTATCAGGGATAAATTATTTTCTTACTGAATAAGTAATGTAAAGTGCCAATTTGTATGCAGATGTTCCATAAGTGGAAAAATAAACTAAATTCTTTAAACAGACTAGAATCATAGAATAATTCAGGTTGGAAGGGACCTCTAGAGGTCATCTAGATTATTTGCTATGGATTATTCTCTGAGTTTTGTTAGCAAACATGGAGTTAGGAGCTCATTTCAAAAAAATGCCCCCTTTTCCCAGGAAATTAATATATCCTATGTGCTCCTTTGTATGTTAAAGCGTCTTTTCTTTTGCTTAGTTGCATGTTGTTATCAGCAAAACTACGGCCAAAATAATTATTGACTGCAAGCAAGTGAGCGAGAAGACCATTAATGCAGCAGGGAATATCAGTTCTGATGGCATAGAAGTGCTGGGGAGAATGGTCAGATCCAGAGGACCAAGAGACAACTCTGCGCCAGTGAGTAGAACAAGAACAATTCTTTAAACCATTTAAAATATCCTAAAAACAAGTGTTTGGGATCTTTGCAGTTAGATTTAAGTTGAAGCAGAATGAACTCTTACTTGAAACAGTAAAGTTCCAGCATTTCAGAAATTCTGCGAAAGTCTTCAATAGTTCTCAACTTGGGCAAAAATCTACTTTTGATTATTTTAATAAATGAAATCACTAGATCATCATTGTTCAAATGTTATTCTCAAACACATACGTGAACACAGTTGATAAATTCAGATATGACTTATGTTCCAAACTTTATTACATAGAGTAATACAATGTATAACTCCTTACCATTTAAACTTTGTTTTATCATTGAGTTATATATAATGAGTGATAATTATTACCCATGTCTCTTACTCTTTGTTTGCCCCCAAGCTCACTGTCTGTTCATTAAATAATTGAATAGGTTTGACACAGTCGGCCCCGTAAAACCCCTGTCTTGGTATATCTAATTCTTTTATAATATAAATATTTTAAATGTGAAAGATCCTCCCTAAGATTAAGTACTCTTTCATTCCTCTGAAACTATTCTCCTAGAAGCAGTAATTGATCATTCTGTTTGCACAGCAACCTATGGGAGTCTCTCCATTTTGCTTCAGATGTCATTAAGAAGGTTTGTTTGGATTTTTCAGGTAGATTTAGTTGTTGAAGAAGAATTGACACTCTGGCAATGATCTTGGGAAGGCTTCTTTGCCGTGCAGTACTGTTTGCTAATTTCCTTTGAACTTGCTTGACCCTAGAACGAGGTTAGCAGAGAACGTGAACCCTGAACTCAAGGTTTGATTTGAATAGGAATGAGGTTTCAAAAATGTATTTACTTGCTACTATATGGAAATACTCTTTTTTAGTAAAAAATAAGCCCTCAGAATATATCTCTGTGTACAAAAAAGAGCCTTTAGGCCTCAAACTTATGGATAATAATTATATCAAGCATGTAAAGACAATTACACAAAGAAACCTTTGTAGTCACATTCCAATAGAAACAGAAAAAGGCAAACTTAGGAAATCTTGGAATTACAGAAAGCTTTGTAAAGAAGTGGAAAGAAATGGTGTCTTTTGTTAGAACCCAGGAATCTATAAAGGATAAGTCAGACTGCCCACTCACTGAAAAATTTGATTTTGTTCAAATGAACTGTAAAACTGATGTAAGACTACAAATTTGTAGCTGAAGATGAAGATTCTTTACTCCATATGTCGTGGTTTAACCCCAGCCAGCAACTAAGCCCCACGCAGCCGCTCGCTCACTCCCCCCCGGTGGGATGGGGGAGAGAATCAGAAGAGTAAAAGTGAGAAAACTCGGGGGTTGAGATAAAGACAGGTTAATAGGTAAAGGAAAAGCTGCGCACGCAAGCAAAGCAAAACAAGTAATTCATTCACTCCTTCCCATCGTCAGGCAGGTGTTCAGCCATCTCCAGGAAAGCAGGGCTCCATCACGTGTAATGGTTACTTGGAAGACAAAATGCCATCACTCTGAACGTCCTCCCTTTCCTTCTTCTTCCCCCAGCTTTATGTGCTGAGCATGACGTCATATGGTGTGGAATATCCCTTTGGTCAGTTGGGGCCAGCTGTCCCACCTGTGTCCCCTCCCAACTCCTTGTGCACCCCCAGCCTACTCGCTGGCGGGTGGTGTGAGAAGCAGAAAAGGCCTTGGCTCTTTGTAAGCACTGCTCAGCAACAACGCAAACGTCCCTGTGTTATCAGTACTGCCCTCAGCACAAACCCAAAACATAGCCCCACACTAGCCACCACAGAGAAAATCAACTCTATCCCAGCCAAAACCAGCACACCATAGTACTGTTTAGCTGCCTTCAAGTATTACCACATATTCCAAATTAAAAGCAGGTCAAGAAAGCACCCAAATACCATTCTTTAAAGTCTCCATTCTGCACATTTTATTCACATTGAGTAGAACTTGTGTGAATAGTCACATTTAAGGCATGAATGAGTTGGTTTCCGCGACTCCAAAAATTAGAGGACATCAAAGGAAGCTAGTAGGAGGCAGGTTAGAGGTTCTTCTCACAACAGGTAGTAGATCAGTGCAGCTCCTTGCCATAGAATTTTGTGGGTGCTAAATACTTTTATAGATTATAGGAAAGCCTGGACAAATGAATGAAAGGGAAGTATTGCTTGTTAACAAATCTGGGACAGGAAATCCCTGATCTGAAAGTCATTGGAAGCTAGTAGGCTGTAAGGTAGAATGTGACTTACACCCTTGTGCTTTGTTAGATATCTCTTGTGCCACCATTGGAAATAGAATACTGGAATTCATTCCGTTCCAGTATCTTCACAGTTTTAAGAGGTTCATGAAGGCATGCATACAACAAAAATTCCTTTTTGTAAAATATTTTGAAAATTATTTTGAATTGATATGAAAATTGGGGTTGTTTGATAGTTCTGAAAAGTTCTTTTTTCATCAGCTGTATTTTCGTGAAATGCTTTAATCTTACTTTTAGAGATTCTTATTACATAAAATGAAACCAGGTAGGCAGTTATTTTGGAATAAAATTGTGGATGTTTTGTTCTGACTGTATTCACATGGAACAGTTTAACATTGCCAGAATGTTTTTAGTGTGGTTTTTTTTATAAATGAATCCAGTGCAATCACCTGCATTTGCAAAACGTTTCATTTTTGAGAGAATGTAATTGTATCAGAGTTTTTTCCCATCAACGCATATGGTGTGCAACAGTTCAAAGAACAGGCAGAAATAGAGTTAGATAGCACAGAAAGCGGATTACGCAAAAGGTGCCTAGCCCTTTTAACATCCCTTAATAGTGAGGCGTCTCTGGATTAGACACTCCAGCCACTAGAGCAATGAAACCTGAGTGTGACATGCAGCAAGTAATGTTCTGTATTCCTTCAGTGGGATTTAATGAAAGTCCAGCTTTAAAACATTGTTTATTTACCATTCACAAACCTTCTCTTTATTGATGTTTCCTTTTCTTTTAAATTTAACTTGCTTACCTCTGTGTATATGTACTGTTAAAAAAAGTAATGCATGATGTGGTCTGGTCTTGAGAAATCTTTGCAGAACTGTAGCCTGATCAGATGATGATGGGCAGACTTTTCCGTCTTACTGGTTCTGCTTGCAGGGCTGGATATTTAGAACACAAAATCACTGTGAATACAGAGAATTATGAATAAATGTTTAACGGTAGCAAAGAAAGCTTTGTTTAGTTATTTAGCTTGAATCACAGCAACCCACATAATATTTTATAATAAGAATACTGAGTCATTCAACATTTGGATGGTGAATACAGCAATTCAGGGAATGTCTATTTGCTCTTTATTTTACACCAACATGCTTTATCACTATGGATCTCTAGATTGTCTAATCCAGAGAAAATGAATGCATATATATGCCTGTGTAGGACTGCATAAATTTAGCCAATATTGTCAACCTTCCGTTGTTCAGGATAACAGAATAGCTTGGGATGGGCTATGTTATGGAAAAAATGGCAATACTACTTACTTCTGAACCTAAGCTGCTTTTTGCACAACCAGCTCAGGTGTGAGCTGAGTGTGTGTGCACTCCTTTTCTAAGATGTTTTATTTGCTTAAGTGTAGTATCATGCAAATGCCCAGGGTCATTCTGAGTCCCAGAGCAGTATGTTCATGCATGTTCATATGCTACTGTGCTCAAGCTAGTGAGTCCTCCTGGAATTAGTAGCTTTGGGATGTGTAGCGAAGAGGCATCTAAGTGGCTCCACATGGAGCCAGCTTGCATAGCTGGGGACACAGACTTGTTAGACTGAGGACAGACCTTTGTGGAGCCAAACCAAAAGATACCTTCATGCTGCACTTCAGCTGTCTAAGGTGTTTAGCATGGAGCCAGCTCACATGTGTCTCATCTGTAGGAAGGCGTATCTACAAACCAGCTAATCTGCTGACAGATAAGAAGAATTTCTATGTATATGAAAGTATTCTTTTTTTAAAAATGTAATAGTTGACTTATATAAGAAAAAAAAAAGAGGCAAACCCGAAGATGCACATATGTAGTTCATTTTAACAGCTTTAGAAGCAATGCATTTTTAAGAGAGTGTTTAAATTCACTCCTCTGTTCTAGTGTTAAAATAATGCCACTGAAAATAATAATGGGAGCAAAACCAAAGAGAGTTTTATCTCTAGCAGTTCGTCACATTTTTTAACATGTGGGGTTAATTTAATAGAATGTTCTGTTCCATTCCCCTCTCTATTCAGTATGCACATAAATGAGGCATGGAAAAAGAATAGAAATAGTAACAGAAGAAAGCTTCATCTCTCTAGACCCCTTTGTTCAGTTCAAGGCTATAAAGGAGACAATTGGTTTTACCGTTGAGTCCTATTTATTATATTGTTTCTGAGTACCTAGCAGCCATTTTTTTTACCAAATGTGTGTGTTCTTGTAGATTAAATTCTTGTCCAAACCATGTTCCCAGACCTGTGCTGGGAATTTTCTTTTCTGCCCGATGTTGTCATGTGTTGAGCAAGCTTTTCACTATCCTTAAAATTTCGTTGCCTGGGGATAATATGGATATGAGAGGGCATATTCTAAAGTAAAATAAAACTGGAGAAGATGATAAATATTATTTGTGGCTCAGCTCCAGTGTAAGTAATAGGCTACAGGAGACGTTGTCCCAGATAAAGTCTGAGCACCATACCAGTGGGTTAAAAGAAATGATTTAGTTTTGAGAAGCTGAGCTCTCTTTTGCCTGTCTCTTGATGCCTTCTTTGCTAGAAAAAAGTATTGGGAGGCACCATTGGGCAAAATCAGGAGGTGGGGATAATCCAACAAATGCCTGCAACATTTAACCTTGAACAGTAATGTCTGTAATGTCATCCACGTAATGTCTGATAGTTTGGACAAGCTGGTTAGAACACAAGCCTTTTACCGTTTAAGTTACCATATTTGTGGCTAGGTGCTCTCAGTTGATAGCTTCTCCTCTGTCTAATCTGAGTGCTTGAATCAAGGTAGCTCTTCTTGCTGATGGCTCCATTTTGCACTGATCTTACAACTAACAGTCTTTTTGTACATCACCCTTGTTTTGAAACAGTTGCAGTTACAGATGTTTGACATTGTTTGTGCTACCTCATGGGCCAATCGGGACAAATGCTGTGAGCTTCCTGGCTTGGTAAGAAACCTCTTTCAATAACTGTAGAATTTACCTTTTACTTTCCCCTTTATTGAGACAAATGTTTTCATGGAAATGGATGGTTAAGAGTTTTCAAAAAAGCTCAAGCCTGCTTGGATTACTTGTCCTATTGAAAGTCCATGTGATGTATGTTTCTAAATCAAGTAGGTGCTTTTGAGGCATCCACGTAGTACTGTGTCTTAGATTCATAAAAATCTTAACTTCTGAATCGAAGTTTTGGACATCATTCTCTTCCTATCTTGATCTTTCCTTAGAGAGATGAGGAAAATTGCCCTGCCCTTCCTCATGCTTGTTCCTGTTCAGAAGCTAATAAGGGTCCCCTTGGACCTCCTGGACCACCGGTAAGGTTTTATTCATGTTTGTAGTCAACTGTACCAAGTAGTCCACTGGCAACCTTTATTCCAAGACATGAGAATATACTGCCATTTTATAACTAATAAGGTTAAATTATGGTTTTAAGTGTTGGCAAAGAGATAAAATTACTTTCAATTTATACCAAACATGCCAAGTAATATGCTCTAAAAAACCTTCTCACCCAATAAGTCAGTCAGATTTTTAATGGCTTAATTGAGACCTGAAGCAGTTAGGGTAATCTTTAGACCTTGGACCCTGTTACCTGTCTGTAGCATTGGTAGATATGTCATAGTTAGTGCCATTTATTTTCAAATTTTTAATCACCTGCTATCTGTCTACTCTAGCACATATGTAATTAAATGTAGTTTTCGAGTTTAGCTTTCTGAAACCCTCAGTTTACAGTATTCTTATGAATTAAATATATGCCAATGCCACTTGTGTGATAAATGATGAAAGAAGACTTTTCTGTCTTAAAAGGCCTACTTAAGTACAATATTTATTGGAAAGCAGAACTGAAAGTGCTGGTTCTTCTGAGAGCTCCTAGAGGCAAAGAGGTACCCAAAAGTGGTGAAGGGAAAAGAGGATGAAATGAACTGGCTTTGGTGAAAGCTGAATTGAAACTTTTTCTAGCTTGCCACTGAATGATGAAATACACACTGTCACAACTTTCACCTATACTTTGTGGTGTTACTTTGATAGCACTCAACTAAGTGTTTACTGTGTAAATGTTAAGTAAGTGTATATCTAAGTTCCTTGCGTAACCAGTGGAACTAGATAGTCTCTTCTAGAAGAAAATTATTTAACTTTCCTTCCATCTCAGAGTAGTATCTTAGAAAGATGGAATAAATCTCCTTTCTCTTCACTGGCTTGTGGAAGAACTCAGACAGTGGATCAGACCAGACAAAGGAGATACAGGTCACTGAAGTTAGATAACTCAGTCTCATATCCCAAGGCTGATTTTTAGCAGTTTAGAAAAGTTGTAGGCTCTGTTTGCAATGGTCTATTATTGGTTTGGTTTAATGAGAATCCTAACTGGGATGTTTGTAGAACAGTCATGTTTTTTCTTTTACAACTAGATTGATAACTCTGATTGGCGTCTTAGGGCTGCTTGCTAAGTTAGCTTGAGATGAGGCCATCTTGTGAACAAGTTTGAACTGCGTGTTTCTCTGCTCATACTGTGTCCTGGAGGCTCCAAGAGCATGTTTTGAAGAGAAAAAGCCAGTGAAGAATGCGAAGGAAAATAAGTTTCTGAAAAGGTTAAAGTACGCAAATCACATGAGATACGTGTTCAACAACAAAATTAACTTGCACATGAAACATTCACGTAGTAGATCCTAGCAGACATTTATCCTACTAACAACTCGGAGGTTAATCTTTCTGCAAAAACTGTACTGCGAGCTCTGGTACAAAAACTTGAAAAGAAACTCAGGAGAAAATTCACTGAAGAGGTCTATCTTGAACAAGGAAAAATTATTCTGTTCTCCTATCTGAATGTAGGTTATAAATCGAGTATAGATTAAGGTTTTAATTTCTGTATATAGATGTCCAATTTGTGTTCTGTGAAAAAAACAATGGGATAATTCACACAAAAATGCAACTGAAATTGAGCAGTTTGACCAAATTTCACAGTAAAATGACAAATGTTTAAAAATTATTTGGTTGGAAGGATGTGTGTTACTATAGATCAAAACATGTACGGATCAGGAATTGCTAAAGCTTACCCAGCAGTAAAATAATGTACTTCTATTTATTACATTTAGGATTAACAGTGTTTTGAGTAGCATAGTGCCATGCAAGAGGAGGCTTAAAGTCTAGCAGAAAAATCACTGCCTAGGCAGACGAGTATGTGATTCTGGAACTCAGCCTCTTGTGAGCAATGCTTTTTTGCCAGACAGTTAGATGGCATATTTTTCTGGAGAAAAGTAAGAGGCCTAGGAAAAAGCAGAGCAAAAGAATAAAGTCAGCGTTCATCTCTGCGCCAACCAAAAGTCAGAAAGTCACATGTGCTATGTCTGGTCAATACTGCTCCAAGTCGTTAAAATGTCATGTGACTTTTCTCTAAGCCAAGGATTTTTCTGTTTAAGGGATCAGGATTCTACCATCTAGCCAGTTTTAGACATTAGGCTAAAAAGACTCCAAATAAAAGGCTTCCATTTGTTTGGGATATTAACTCTGGAAATACTTTTTAAGCTCTTTTAGGAAGTGGGTCATTTTGGGTAAGACAAAGTTAGAGTTAAGATTATCTGGCAGTTTTCATAATGGGAAACTGTTTTTATGGCTTCATCTTTGCCAGAATTTGATCAGGCTGTCTGAAGTTCCCCATGCAAAGTAAAAGTAAGATATCACACAAACCTGATGCCTGCGTTTGAAAGGAGTGCTGCAGAACTGGAGAAGATGAAGGAGGAGACAAAAAATATTGAAGGATTGGAGAAGTTTAATTGCAAAGACAAGCTTTCAGTGCTTCATAGGTTTTAACTATAAAAAGAAATAAGGAGGTGACTTGAAAACAGTTGGTTAAGGACTGTTTCTGGGGGAAAGCACTAGCTATTAAGAAGTCATTTAAAATAAGAGAAAAAGACATAACAGGAATTCTTGGCTAGATGTAGAATTCAAAGAAATGAAAAATTTGAAATTAGTTACACAAGCTTAGTAGTAGGGGAATAATGACCAAAACAAGTTTGTGAGAAAAATGAGGGAGGCTCTTGTGATGTTTTCATCTTAAATCAATGCTGTTCTGGAACTTGTGCTTTTACCAAGCAAAGGTAACTGGGTTCAAAACATGGATAAGTGTACCAAATTCATTGTGAATCTTAAAGCATATGATTTAATGGCTCAGCATCAGGCTATTTTAAAGTATATATTCTTACTCAGTAAAATTGTAATCTGTTTCTGAGAAAAAAATGGGAGAAAAATGTGTGATTTTGTTTATATTAAAAAGTTGCAGTATTGCATAGGAATAGTTGAGTATTTACATAGGAATTTTTAATCTTAGAGAGGTAGGAGAAAGGGCAGAGGGAGCTACTGGGCTGGAATGCAGCAATGTGTGGACCTGGAATTTGGGAATTGGCAACTGGAACATGGTTCTGTGGAGAGCATGGGATGAGATTTTAGGGTCGGAGGTGACCATGATGGAATGGGTCATGGCCATAGAGCTGTGGGATGGAAGTGAGAAGACTGAAGGAGCTGGGACAAGGAGTAGAAAACTGCTCTGTGATCACACATATGAAAACTATATCATGATACCTTCATTGAAGAGCAAGAGTACTCTGGTATTTCCAAACATTTCTCTTATTGGCATTCCTATTTAAAGTCTCATAGATACTACATGTGCATTTAATCTGATAAGCATATTTTCTATTTTTATGTCTTTAATGTAACTGCTGTTATTTTTGTAAGTACTTATTGTAGCCTCTAAAGAATGCTGTTCAGTTAGGGTGCCTAGTTGTACAAGGTCCTTTTTGAGTACAAAGAAGGGCAGAATCCCTGTAAAGCTCATATCCCGAGAGATTAAGCAATATACTCAGGCGGGGAAAGAGGGAAATTGATCTGAAAAAAGTGAAAAAAAAAATAAAATCTTTATTTATGCTGTCCTAGAGGACAAAGCACATACACCATGTGTATGCAAAACACATTCATGGCAGCCATCCATAGATATATGCAACTCCAGTGTCTCAGACGATACTAATAAAAAAGGCAACAGTTGGTTAATAAATGATTAACAGATGTAGGCACCGCTGAAGAAAGCAAAAAAGAGAAAAATGGGCAGAAGAGTATTTTACCTAAGAGTAGCTCTAAATTAAACCTCTAGTCTAGTAGATCCTGGAGTTGTCCTTGCTGAAAAATATTCCTGAGTTGTTGGAATCATAGAATCATTTAGGTTGGAAAAGACCTTTAAGATCATCGAGTCCAACCATTATCCTCACACTGCCAAGTCCACCATTAAGCCATGTCCCCAAGTGCCACATCTACACGTCTTTTAAATACCTCCAGGGATGGTGACTCAACCACTTCCCTGGGCAGCCTGTTCCAATGCATGATGACCCTTTCAATGAAGAAATTTTTCCTAATGTCCAATCTAAACCTCCCTTGGCGCAACTTGAGGCCATTTCCCCTCGTCCTATCGCTAGTTACTTGGGAGAAGAGACCAATCCCCACCTCGCTTCAACCTCCTTTCAGGTAGTTGTAGAGAGCGATGAGGTCTCCCCTCAGCCTCCTCTTCTCCAGGATAAACAGCCCCAGTTCCCTCAGCCACTCCTCATAAGACTTGTGCTCCAGGCCCTTCACCAGCTTCGTTGCCCTTCTCTGGACACGCTCCAGCACCTCAATGTCCTTCTTGTAGTGAGGGGCCCAAAACTGAACACAGGATTCGAGGTGTGGCCTCACCAGTGCCGAGTACAGGGGGGACGATCACTCCCTTAGTCCTGCTGGCCACACTAGTTCTGATACAGGCCAGGATGCTGTTGGCCTTTAACAATGTGGTGATTTTGGTCAGAACAAACAGATGTGCAGGAGATTTCAGCAACTGGAAGGGAACCTGACCACATGTATACATTTTCATCCCTATTGTAGCTTTCAGTGTTATTTTGATGCTTACGTGGTGTGCATTCTTGGCTCTAGAAAGTAGTCGCATCTGCGTTTAAATCTGTTCCTGTGTATGGCCACACCTAAGTATGTTTTCAGTTTAATTACTCCAGTGGAAGGATATGGACAGGATATTCACTGATTCCTGAACACTGATTCAGGAACAAGAAAAAACTGTTCGGGCTTCTCTGGATTTTGTTTTTGTTTATTTGAGAGTTTTGGTTTTCAGCAAGTCCTGTGCTTGTGTTACACAGGGTGGTCCAGGTGTCAGAGGTGCCAAAGGTCATCGTGGCGATCCAGGTCCAAAGGTACTTTGTACAGCACTTTACAGTTGACAGATGCACAGGTTCTTGGTTTATCTCTGCTGCTTGTAAACCTTGAAATGAATTCCAGATTGTCTCTGATGTCGCTGAGGAAAAAGCATAGTGAAATGCCATTGGCATTTGGTGTGTCTCTTTTCATAACAATTGCTTGTCCTCTTTGTTCCTTGATAAAAGATACAAAATTCATAATGCTGCTTTCACAGCATAAATCTTCATTTTTTTTGTATTTATAAAGGAACCAGGCAGTTTTAAATTGAACCCTAACTGCTCAATCAAATGTTAACTTATATTTCAGATGTTTTTGAGTCTATTGGTATTTAATTCTTCAAAGAGAAGCTGCCTTTGTCCATATGATAACAGTTTAACTTATGTCTTGTGCTACTTTAGGGACCAGATGGACCTCGAGGTGAAATTGGTGTTCCTGGACCGCAAGGACCTCCAGGACCACAAGGACCCAGTGGACTTTCTATTCAAGGGCTTCCAGTGAGACTTATAAAATCAATAGGGTCCTTTCCTGTGATTTTTGGAACAGCACGTATCTTAGACTAGACCGAAATATATTTTGGTGTCCTGATCAAAATCTGAATTTCAATATTTGAGGTGAAATCACAGATTTGGGTTTAACCTGCAGTGGACGTGCGTCCAATGCCAACATTTCTGGTTTTATTTGGATCTGAACTTTTAGTTAGCTGAAGGGATTTGATCACAGGTTGAATATGACCCAGGTATTAGCATCCAAGCCTGGAGACAAGTGAAAAAAATTGCAGTGGGGGTTGTAACATGGCCCCAAAACAAAATGTTAATATATTTTATCTCTTTCTTTTTCTAACTCATCGCAGATCAGTTCTGACTTGAAAGGTATACCCAAGCAAGAACACTATATTCGCTGCCAAAATTAAGCAATAGTATTCACTACACTTACAGAGTCTGTCATCAGAGGAGATGATTAGGCCTGGAGTTTGCAATGCTGTTGTGAAATAAGTCTCAGAGTTTCATCATAAAGACACATTGGTAGAATCATAGAATCATAGAATCA